CCGAGGGGTTATCAATTTCTACCTAGAAGGGAAGCACTTCAGGCATTTTCTCTCTCCGTGATTCCGACGCCTCCCTCCGCCATACAATGGGTACACCGTATACGGTATAGCGAACGAGTAGTCTCAATCACCTGATCGCGTTCGAGTGTTCCCACGGTTCACTTTGGATTCTAACTGAAGCCGCGAACTATTGCACGGGGGTTCAAGTTACATCGATAGATACGGGAAAATACAATGAAGCCAAAAAGTACAACACATGACAAACTACGAGATCGTTTTTGCGCACTCATGCACTGTTCAGACTCTTACATGCATCCCGTGAAATCCAAACCCAACCGCCGCAGGGACCTCCGCCCTCCCGACCTCAGTCCACGTCTTGGCATCCAACACAAGCAGATAGCTGCACCCCGACATGCCGTCCAGCACCACGCTCAGCACCACCCCTTCGTCCTCGTCCTCCCTCTCCGGATTCGCAACAAATATGGGCTCTCCAGGCGTCTGCGCCGTCGCGCTCCACACCTGCCCCGTCTGCGTCGCCGTGTCCATCTTGACGAGCGAGTCGAGGAAGCTGCTCTGCCGCCGGTCGCCGACGCCGTAGATGTAGCGGTGCGGCTTGGTGTGATAGGCGGGGTTGATGGTGGGGAGCTCGCCTGTGGCAGAGGGGGGCATGATGAACACCAGCTCCGCCGCGCATCGTAGCGGCTTGGAGGAGGAGGAGCTTTCAGTGGCGGTGGGGATTCCGGCGAGCTTGTACCGCGCCATCCCGTCCTTCCCAGCCACATAGTCGAACGTGCGCTTGCCAGCATTCGGCGCAGTGGAGACCATGTTGTCGTACTGGTTCAAGGTCGTCGTTAGCGGATGGGATTGGACGAACGAGCAAGCGGATACTCACATAAAACTTCTTCAGGATGTCCAGATTGCGAAGCTGGACGACGTCGCAGATGATATCCAGGGCGCCACCTTTTCCGGGGGTCTCGTAGGCATTGACGGAGTGGAACGCAAACATCGCGCTGCTCTCGAACATGGCAACGACGCCTTTCCCGTGCCGCCGGTCGATTACATGCCATTTCGTCTTGGCCGAGGGGTCGAAATCCGCGAGCGCGTCGAGGATGTTGCGCTGCCAGAGTATCCCGGCGCCACCCAGTTGAAAGTATGAGGGCCAGACGCACAGAATGAGGAAGTTCTCCGTGAGGAAGAAGGAGTGGAGGTATGCCGCCTTGGCGTCCTTGCCGCTCAACTTGGCGAGAATCGTGGTTTTTCCCGTGGCGGCGGAGGTGCAAAAGACGCGATAGACGGGAGTAGAGCCGAAGTCGAGGTTGAAGTTGAACATATCGCCCGTCTCCGGGTCGAACTCGGGGTGGGCGCACGAGGTTTGGCCCGTCAGGGAGGGATGGAGCACCCGTTGGTCCGTCACTCCGAGGGGTGCAAGCGTCTCGGGGTCGTGTGTCTTTATGCTCGCGGAGTCTGTGAAGGTGACGAAGTTACCAAATTTCGACTCGCTCTTCGCGAACCCGGGAACATTGGCGGAGATCGACACGCCCGCATTAACCAGCTCTGCGGTTCGGATTTCCACCGTTGGCTCAAAGACAGTCTTGACCTTCTTGAACAAGGTATCGCAGGGATCGCGCTTCTGGCCGAACGTGACGCCGTCTAGCCTCCCGGTCTTGCGTGCGCGCTCAATGAGCTGATCGACCTGGCGGCGCGAGCTGTAGAGCACTCGACAGGTTCCGTCGCTATTCGGAACGAGCTCGAAGCGGTAGAGGTGAGAAAAGCCGTCGAACCTAGACGCGCGGTGTAAGTATGTATGGATGCAATACCGTAACTGCGACGAACCAATGACTACATGCGAATTCTCCTCCATCCTTCGTGGTAACCTTGTGGCTCCCTGGGCCAGTGCGGATTAGGGTGCCGGCGGCGTATGCTGGAATGGCACCAGTGATGTTGAGGGCAATTGGGTCGCGGTGTTCGACTTCAGTGTTGAACTGCGTGTGAAACGGAAGTGAGAATCTTGGGATTCTCCGGGAAGGATATCGGTCGACTCACCCCTGCATCGTTCGGCCAGTCCTTATAATGAGTTGCGAGTTCCGTTGTCGTCGTCATTCTGAAGTGTGTGTGGTTCGGAAGTGACTCTTAATTTCTTGGAGGCGATCACTGGTCCTGGCCGGTCGCCATCCTTAAGTATGCTTTTGAGCTGCGACTGCGGCGGGAGCGTTCAATGGCGCAGGGGCGATGGCCGTTGGTGAGAGGTGATGCGCTGGCAATGCGATCACGCCGACGGAGAGACAAATGCCGACGGAGGTCTTTATGGAGGTAAATCACTTCCGAAAGCTCTGGCCGGCTCTGGCGCACAAGGAGCATGACTTGTTTTCAGTGTACGAATTGACCGTGAATAAACCAATCGCGAGTCAACATCTCGAACTCCAAGTTCCAACATCGAGCTCAATTAATCTTCTCAAACCAAACCTCAGCCCGATCCTTCACCGTAGCCCCGCTAGGACTTGGGACGCCAGCCCCAGCCCCCCAAATTCCGCGAAAGCCAACCCCAATCGAATCGTCTTCGTTTGAAAACGAAAACTCAGTCACCAATCCTGGATCGGTCAAGGCCGTCACCCAGTTGTACCCCGCGGATGAGTTGTGTTGAGGCTATCCGAGCCAACTATGAGCGCGGTCCAAAGGAGAGGAAGAGGGAAAAGACTCACAACGCTGTAGAACGCCGACGCGTTGAATAAATTGTGTTCAAAATGAGCGAGCGACAGGTGGGTCACGTCGGTCCCTCTCCACCTTGCCACAAATGTCGGGATCTGGGGATCGAGGACGTCCGGCAGAGTGGTGGGAATCTCGTCGAGGAGCCGACGACACGACTCCGAGCTTGGGGGTGTAATGGCGGATTCAGGCATATGACACAACTCGAGAGTTCCGTATGCAGGGTGCCTATATATTCCAGCCAGTCTGGTCATAGGGAAGGAAGGCGGTGATGGTTTCGTCGGCCTTGGTGTCGCACCGACACTATTCTTGATGCCGGAGACGATTAGAGACTTGAACCTGGGGTTGAATCAGGAATGAGCGAATCCATAAGACGCTATGTACACTACCTTTCGGTCCAGTCTATCACTTCGAGATCTAGAGCTTCGTCCAGGATACGAAATTTGATCGCTTCTGCTATTTGTGCACCGAAAGTGTCGTCGTTCGAGAGGACGGCAACTCCGAGGTTTCGCTCAGGAATGCGGGCAATCATTGATTTGAACCCTAGTCGGCGCGAATGAGTTGATTGGCGGTCGTATGAGAAATAAGGGCAAGGTATGCATACGTACCCCACACTGCGCCTCCATGCTAATGAAGATCAGTCATGCTTGAACTGGAGTCTAAGTAAGATTTGCAGAACACTCACATCGATGTATTCTAATACCACGGAATTGAATGAAAAACCCATCAGCTAGGCCGTAAGACTCACCAAAACCACGGTACGTCCCACGAAACTGCCCCCCCGCCATAAACCTTCGGGGAACCTTCAGGAAATTGTCTAGAGTTTCTGAGTTAGTTTGCAAGACACGACCGATGCGAGGTGATTAATATACGCGACCGGGAGAGCAACCGTGATCCCAGCACGGATAAGCTCGGCGGGAATGACTGTTTTGTTTTCGGTGGGGTGACGGCCTTCGCTGAGAAGAGTTTGAAGCCAAATGGCCTGAGACACGTAGTAAGCAACGGGTAAATAGACGCGGGACAGTGACAAGCAGACATACCATGTCCTTCGCGTTGGAAATCACACCCCCATCACCAGAGTTCGCTTAAAATTCGCTGGTTAGTCGAGGTGGGATCCACATGCAGCTGCATACCGTTTCCCGGAACCCCGTCGTTCGGAGCCCAGTATGGGAGCGGTTGGACACGCCCTACCCCGAACGGATCCTCGGTTCGGTTCACACCGTCGCGTCCAAGGCCCTCGGCAAGATGCCCGCTCTCCGCCGCAATTTTTGAGTAGTAGGTCGTGGATGTCATCCCGAGGGGCTCAAGCATGAAATCGTTCACGTACGTCTCGAACGGGATGCCAGCGAGGAGTGGGGGGAGAGCGGAGAGGAGAGTGTACATGTGGTTGTTGTACTGGAACTGTTCGCGAAACCCAGTTGACGGTTTGAGGTAGCGGAGACCTCGGATCTGACTCGGGCGTTTAGAGAGAATAAATTAAATTGATGAGAGAGGACATACAACTTCGTGGACATCTTCGTGAGCAAGAAGGTCATGCCGAGGAAGCCCAGTGCGATGGCTCATAAGGTCGAGGATGGTACTCTCCGCCGACGCCACGGGATCCATCAATCCCCAGTCGGGCAGCACAGAGGCAATCTTCGTATTCCAGGAGATTCGCGTCGCCAGGCTCTCGTTGGCGATAATCAGTCCAGTTGCCAGTATATCGAACAGCTGTTATGGGTTCACATCCAACAAAATGGACATTGAAGGGAGAACTCACCTTCGAATTGGACCCAATGCAGAAGAGGGTGTCGCTTGTCACCTTGGTCCCGTCGATCTTCGCAATGCCATAGCCTTTCGTCTCTACCGTCCATTCGCCAGACTCGGGGTCTTTGTGAACGACGGCAAGGCCAACGCCACCAGGAGAGTTGAATTGCTTCAAAATTGCATCGATGTTCCCGTCGAATTCAGGTGTCAGTATCTTGTTATCCGGCCAGTGGGAGGATAATCGGAGTGGCTCTTGTTGTGCCACGGAGAAGACGGCCAAGGCGACCAGAATGACTCCCAGAGAGGAGCAGAGCATTGTCAAAGGGAGCGCGTACAGGGACTCTGAAGCAAACTCCGTGCGGTTTGGCGCTCCGCAGGTTCACGGGCACCGCAGCCGATCAGAATTGATGTTTCCACGGGTTCAGCGCTTGAACCGTGGGAACATGCCCAACGCGGTCAGGTGATTTAAACCTGGCGTCCGCGACGGGTACATGTTCATTGATTCCCCGTCGCCTTGCATGAGTGTCGGGAGGAGGAGAGCGTAAAAAACATGTCCCCGGCCGGAATCGAACCGACGTCGCTCGCGTTAACGTTAGGCCGCTCCACAAGCGAGAGTACTAACCACTACAGAGACAACATGTTACACCTCCAAGTAACACGCCCGCCTTGGTTCCAATGTTCCCACCGCTCTTTTTTTAGACCCCAGTCCCAACAGCATTCACCGTGGGCCACGACTCGGAATAGCAACTGCGAGGATTTTTCCAATAGCGCAAGGCCGGGTTGCCCGATTATCGTTAGTCCCGGGCTTAGGAGGGGCGCTGGAGCAACACTGCTAAGTAGCATGACCTCCGTTCCAACGCCTCGATGGTCCGAACCGTGGGAACGTGAATTCAACACAGTGGAGGTCCAACTGGCAGAACACCGCCCCCTGGCCCTTTCACTCCGGCCTCGGGTTATAACATCGCTGAACATTATCATAGCGCCTCGCATGTCCCGATGTCATCTTCCGGGATATCTACACCCTCGGTACTTTCGCCCGTTTTGATCGAGTCACTCAACGTAGACACATATCAATTCTTCATATTGCTCAACCTCCGTGTACAGCCCACAGACTGCTCCGGCGCCACTGGGAGCGGGAGCGACTTCCCCGAGCGTCTCGTCTATTCACGTCCTGATCGGGATCTTACCCGGCTCCCGGTGCAGTTTATCTGTCAAGGCAACGTTTGGATGCAGTACTTCCATCCTACCTTCCTTCCCTCTAATGATTCTTCTGCCTCTAATAGTTCTCCCCTTTGCTTCTGCCCTGAAATTTCCTCAACCGGACGACCTGATCAGCGGCTTGAAAAATGCCGTGGATTGCGACTCATGCCATGCCTTGCTCGTCCCTCTCAAAGGTCTAGCAGAGTTGGGTGACTCGGCTTTCGTCAAGACGCTGGTGACTACATGCAAGGTTCTGAAGGTGAATAAGCACTCCGTCGCTATATCATTCAACCGTTGAATCAATGCGATTACAGTTGGAAGACGACGACGTCTGTGTCGGCGCCATCACCGAACAGGGACCCATACTGGCGAACGCTTTGCGGAATATTTCGCCCTTCGGCAGAACAGCTACAATGCTCTGCGAGGGCACATTCGGGCTGTGTCAGTCGCCTGCAGTTAATCGATACAAAGTCCCACTTTCCGCCCCGCCACCGGTCGCTCGTCAGGAAGCCGTATCGACCGGAAGGGCGCCGTTTCAAGTGGTGCACTTCAGCGACGTTCACATCGATCGCGAGTATGCTGTGAGTCCGCTGGCAGCTGCTTACTTATCGCGTTTCGGAGCTGAAGGCCACGTTAGACGGGCTCGGACGCGAACTGCAAGAAACCAATCTGTTGTCGCGATTTCGCAGATGAAGTGAAACCACCGACCGAACCGGCCGGGGCATTTGGTAACCCCAATTGTGATAGTCCAGGTTCGTTTCATCTCCGCGTGCTAGGCCAATCAAAACTCACTTGAATCCATCCAGTGGATCTCGCGAAGTCGATGCTGGAGCAAATCTCGACGCATCACACTTGGAGTATTTTCACCGGGGATGTTGTGGAAGGTTCGAAATTCGAATTCGGGTTAAAGCTCATATCGAGGCTCATTGCTTTCCGACAGCTGCTGTGTGGCTTGTGAATAAAAGGTGATTGATGTTGAAACGAACCTTCGATTACTGCCGGTGTTGACGAGTGGACAGTGAAGTAACCAATGACATTCGCAAGTTCAACCACGAGCTTGCGACTGCGCTCAATGCGCCCGTGTTTCCGGCAATCGGTGAGGTGCTATGATTTCTATGTCTTGCGCAATATTCATGTGCGCTGGGGATTATTCAGGTAACCAGTAAGGTTCATTCTGGGTTCAAAGCGCTACGAGCTACTCACTCTTTCCCCCGACAGCGATTCGGCCCCCGTCAACAACTTCCCCCGCGACGCGACCGTCGGTTCTTTCGACGCACAATGGGTGTTCGATCTGGAGGGCAAGGGATGGGCGGTCAGTTCAACTCAACTTATGTCACGGTTCAATCTCATCTCACCATGTTTTTCGTAGCGTTGGACCAACCGCACGGCCGCACGAGAAATAAAGCATATCTCTGGGAGCTATTCCATCACGGCTCCCGGTACGAACCTGCGAATCATCTCAATCAATACAGTGTACTGGTACAAGCAAAAGTGAGTTTTCGCAGTTTCTTATGCGGGCATCACTCAATGTCATGCAAGCTTTTGGCTGTATGATTCGGACACCCCGGAGTGCGTTCGTTCAACCGACCCCTACGCGAAGGAAGTCATATTGATTTTTCCTCGGTGTAGACCCGACCCACGAGGGATATTGGCATTCATGGTGAATGAGCTGCAATTGGCCGAAGAAGCGGGTGAGCGTGTGTGGATAATTGGGCACATGCCGCCCGGGTGCGAGGATACGCTGAGTGATCAGGTTTGCTCCAGTTCGATTCAAATTTACGCTGCTGCTAAAGAAGAGGGCCAGTCGAATTATTATGACCAAATCGTGCAGCGGTACCACGGGATTATCGCGGGCCAGTTCTTCGGGCATACACACTATGTGGGTCGTTTGTTTCGTGCGAGTCACCTGCAGGTTGTTCACTTGTTAACGGTTCAACGATAGGATGAGTTCGAAATTGCGTACTCGGACTATGGGGCCCGGGGAGCCGACACTGCAGTTTGCGTATCCTGGATCGCGCCCGCGCTAACACCTAGAAGTAAGTGTCGAATCAGCTTTTACAGCGCACTTACTTATTTCTCTTCTCGAATCAAGGCGGGAACCCAGCCTTCCGGGTGTACGACGTGGACCCAGACACGTACGAGATTATGGATGCTAAAGTTTACTCCGGTGAGTTTTGCGTTGTGGTCTCAAAAATTACTCACCAAATAATATGAATAGCCGACCTGAAGAGCGCGGGGTACCAAACGAAACGTTAGTGCTTCCACGCGTATCCTCATCGAAGGCTGATTTCCTCACGAACAGCGGAGTGGAAGCTTTATTACAGCGCACGCGCGGAATACGGGCCCCTAGTCAATCTTCCTCCAACCGCCCCACTCGATGCGCCATTTTGGCACACCGTGACGGAGGCGTTCGAGAAGAATGAGACGGCGTTCGAACGGTACAACACGTTCCTGACGCGCGGGGGCCACGTCGCGCCTTGCGATGCAACGTGCAAGAAGGCAGCGATATGCCAAATGAGGGCCGCCCGGGCAGAGGATAATTGCGTGCGTTGTCTTCGTCGCAAAATGCGCCAGCGACTGACTCATATGACGATATAGCATGTTGCGAAGCCGGGGACGACGTTTGGCGATACAGAGCGGGACCCGGTCATGAATGCGGGCAGCAATACCACTCCAGCGAGTGGTCCTGCACCGCATCAGCACGGACAGTGCGAAGGTATGAAGTTCCTTCTATTGGGGACCGCTGTTAATTTCATTTCGCAGGCGCTGGAATCGGGTACCTTCTGTCGCAGCTTCCGCGCAAAGTGGCGGTTACTGGACCGGTACGTTTAGGAAACGAAAAGTTGCTGTTCGCTGATATATCGTCCGTAGAGCCTGGAAAAGTCTATGTCAGAGCTTAAAGCGCGTCTCCGCGAAATAATTCCAGGGACGATGTGGGATCAAGAGAGAACAGAGCTTTGAGGAAGTTGCCAACTAGAATACCTCTTTATTAACAGATTCCCATTTAATATCTGAAGCCACACCAACCTATTGTTGTCTTCTGCCTCAAAGCTTTGTGCTCAGGTGCATATTATTGCTCGTAGGATGTCACGGTGTTGCCCTGAGTGAGCCCGAGTGATGGATTCAGCATCGACCTCTCGCCGGTGTTCTGCATTTCCACTAATGTCCCGCTTCAATCCGTCCCCTTCCAACCCACATCTTTTCTGAACCTCGCGTTCCATCAGCGGAGTATGGCTAGGGTTTCCACGAGGGCGCGATACGGTGAACCTCCGTAGGTATGTCGTCTCCCAGACTCGACCAGGAATGCCTTTTGTGGCGCGCTTTTGCGTGCGTGAGTACTCGTTCAGGCCATGTCTCATTCGGTTCATTGCCCTCTATGGCTTCTTGTCCGATGCCGATGGTGTTCTGGCGGTCCCAGTCAAGGAACTCCTCGACGTCCCGCCTTCCCCTCTGAAGTGCTCATCCCGTCTTCACCACGGCGGTTATCGAAAAAGTGCCGCGACGCGTGCCTGCGTAAACCCAGACGCGTCACTGACGATCTCTGCATCGTACACCTCCCATTGGGCGCCCATGGGTTCGTTCCTCGTGGCTTGTAACGAGGCTCGGAAGTTTTCGGCACTCCAGGAAGGGGGGGACCGATTTTTTTTCGAGCCAAAAGCACGTCTTTCTTGTAATCGACACACACAAGATGGTGGAGAGCGCTTGTTTGAGCCACGGTGACCACCTAGAACAGCGCCAGCTTCCGTGAACGGCAAAATGACACGTTCTGACTCGACCCTGTCCTCGAAGTTCGGATACTTTTCTATAATCGCAGGAAAATAATCCTCGAGGCTGTTCTTCTAGAGGTTTCTCTGCTGGTTTGGGTGCGGGAGACGCCTTCCACGACGAGGGATCGCCCGAGGAATCGATTTTTTCTTGCAAATGGTATTGGAAAAGCCTGAAAAAGACAAGAAAAAGATTGACGCTGCCGCTGATCGCGGCTCCGCTTGTGACTAAGCTTGGGCTATATCTTGCTCACCGAAATGGCGACTTTCACAATCCCGCCTTCCCTCTCAACGGATGCCTCTGTATCAGCTAGAAATCGCGTGCTCGTTGGCGATTACCGCAGTCTGCAGTAGTCTCTTCTTGTACCTCAATCGGTCGGTGGAAGGCAAAATCCACTTGCCTTTGCATTCAGACGAATCTGAGCCCGGCGACGATGCCTTCGATGTAACAAGGCCGGAGGATGTTCTTGACGGCTACCCCATCGACGGAGACAGGTTTTGGGCTACGGTGTGTGCGGTATGGTATGAAACTCGTCGGTTTGCTGAGACTGGAGCAGATAAGACGGAGAAAATTATTTCTGTGTGTCCTTTTGGTCGCGATCCTTGGACTCCAGATTGCGAGCTTGGTTCTGTCTGTTTTGGTCGAGGGCCAAGTGGCAACCTATGCTTT